GACGCGTTTCAAAAAGGCGGGGCATAGAGGAGAAACAATAATGTACATTATGTGGAAAATAATGTGTTTTTTGAACTTTAAACCGCATAAATACATTTCATTACACCAAATACACAAAATAATGTTCTTTTTAGCAACATCATATGACCCCTTTAAACAACTGTGTCTTTGTGAGTGGAGGTGTGAGAAGTATGATTTATTCATACTTTATTCATATAATCATACTTTTTTAATTTAAATTTTTTTTTCTTTAATTTATGGGACCAACACAGAAACTGAATATCAATTGTCTGATATTTTAGTTTTTGCATATAGTAATAATCTTAAAATCAACATTAAATAATAATTACCTTTATTTACTTTAATACACATGTTCTTGTACATAATTAAAGCAAATGCATGTTGTTTTATAAAATGTAAAAAAAAAAAAATAATAATAATAATAATATATTAAAATGTAATATATTAAATGTGTAATAATCTCGAAAATGATAAAATACCCTAATTTATGCAACTAAGATATCATGGATTTTAAGATTTAATTGCGGTTATACTTTATTCAGTCCAATAAGCAATAGTCAACTGTACAGCCAGCCTTGATTTATTTTACAGTCTTTTGTTTTAACTTTGTATTAAAATAGTATCGCTGGATGTGAAGTTGACCCGGTGTTAATGAGCTGGGTAATATGCATGAGACCAGCTATTCTTCATTAATTTTAATTGTATGTTCTTCATGTAAATTGACCTTACACAGGCAGAACTACACACGAAGCAATTTTCAGTACTGCATGAACTTTTGTTATTTCAAAAGCCAAAGGTCTTTCAAAGGCAAAACTGGTGAGTTACAGTACATCTCTCATGGATGTATAACCATAGTTTTGCATAATTGTAATTTAAGGATTTGGAGTGAAAAAAAAAGAAGGTCAAAAAGGTCAGAGGACTTCTGTACATGTAGTTCTTAGTAACACTTTTCATTTTTCGGTGTGAATTAACCATAAACGTGTTATAATACACGATAAATGGGGTATTTCCAGAGACAAAACATGAAATTAATATTTAATTATTAAATTAGCTCAAATATTTGTAGTTAATTTATATACTGTATATTTAATTTTTGATGCATTTTATGGCATTTTCAAATTTTATTTTATGGGTCATGGTGGAAGAGCACTTTAAATTTATTTTTGTTTGTTTTTCTCTATATGGATATTAATAATTTATCATTTTAAAGTTCACTTCACATTTTTTATTTAATATATTAAATAATTATAAATATTTAATAATAATTTCAATCATTTAGTAATTATAAATATTTATTAATAATTTAACATTTAAATTCAATCTTATAAAATTAATACATTTAATGCAAAAATAAATAAATAAATAAATACAATTTTACTATTAATATTTATCTGTAAACCAGGGTTGTTATAGTTTAAACCATTAAAAACATTTTCATTACTTGAAACAAACATTAACTAAAAACTAAAAATAAATAAACAAACTTATTTCACCTTGCAAAGCAACAAAAAGCAACATTTTCTCATTTTCATTTAGTCTAACTTGCACTAAATATAGGTAAAACTAAAATAAAAAAAACAATATAAACCTATTTTTAAAAATGACAAAAACATGCAACAAAATTAGTACAATTTTAACTTAAATTAAAATTAACAGAGAAGATAAAAATAAAATCTAATTAAAAAAATAATATAAATAAATAATAGTACATCAAAGATGCTAACAGTTGACTGTGTTTTACATATCTGGAAAAAAAGAGTCATAATTAGTCAAAATGCATGTTGTGTTTTGTTGTTGCAAAATCTCGCTTCTGGGATCTCTTCTGTGACTGTTGAATTTCTTTTACTAAATTCCTCTCCCTGTCATTCCAATCCAAATTCTATTTCCACTTCCTGTGGGGCGTGGCACGATTTCCAGTTCCAGCTCATGTCTCCTATGCAAATGAGCGTGCTCTTGTCGCAAAATCACAAGACGTGTGTACCTGTGTATGAACACGCTTGTTTCACTTCCTCTTTTGTTCCCATTCATTACATGGGTAGACAGATCATGGCATGTTGGCAGGCGGCGTAATTTAAATGCTGGAAACTGGCAGGCTATTGCTGCGCCCGGGCCAAGACGCTGCTCTTTCTTCCTCCCGTTCGGATCATTTATCATCTCTTACACAACCGCTGGCGGCTGATGGCTTTCAGAGGACTTTGTAATGAATACTCCACCTGCAGAATCACTTTGAGATGGATTGGCCAATCAAGAGATGGTGGGGAGGAGTGCATCTTTGACAGACAGGAAATGATGTAATTAGCCTTTATGTAATTGGCTGCATCGATCAGTAGAGTTGTCTCAGTTGTCTGCCAATAGCACGACTGTTTTGCATATGGTGCGTTATGGAAGCATATGAGTGTTTTCTCAAGCTGAACTGTAGTCCTTTGGCTCGAATGTCCATTGAAACAAAGCTTTTCAGTTTTAGGTCTAATTATGCATTGAAGGAGTGTTTACACAGTATTTGGCCACATTTGCCTTAGTCTCTAATGTTTTTCAGACATTTTCCTATACCTAGAAAGTGTTCCTTACAGGCACATTCAAGAGTTCATAATTAGTCAAAATACATTTTATTTCATGGGACATGGTGGAAGAGCACTTTATTGCTCTTATTGAATTAATAAATTAATGTAAAATTAATGTAAATTATATCAACTATATATACATACATTATATATATATGTATATATAGTTGATATAATTATTATTATTTTTTTTTACATATATTTAGATTATTTATTAATTTTCATCAGTTATTTTTCCAATCAATATCATTTTATATATTAATATTAATCTGTAAACCAGGGTTATAGTTAACTAAAACTGTTAAAAATATTTTCATTACTTGGAATAAATAAACATTAACAATGTTTGACCATATTAGCATGACTCTATTTTTTTTAAAGGTTTTTTTCAATAAATATTAATTTAAATATTAATATTTTTTGTAAACAAGAGTTATTATTGTTAACTAAAACATTTTCGTTACTTTAAATAAACATTAACATTATTTGACCACTTTAGCTTAGACTCTTTTATTATTATTATTATTATTTTAAACATGTTCCTATCTATATATGTCAATTTTATTTTATTTTGATTTTTACATTACGGGTAATGGAGGAGCACTTCATTGCTCTAATTTATTCAATAAATGATACAGTAAAAAAGATGTATAAAACATATGTATATTAAAATCAAATCTGGTTAATATTTGTTTTTTAAATCAAGTTATTCATTTTTTTTTCTAATAAACATTTATTTTAATATTAATATTTATCTGTAAACCAGAGTTATTATAGTTAGTTGTTAGTATAAATATATCATTCTTACTTGAAATAACTTCAATCAAATATAAGGTTTCTACATTTCTTCCCTCCTAATTGGAAAGATCATCTACTAGAGTTTCTCAAGACTGAAGAAAATGTAAAATTTGCAACACATTTTGATATAGGCATCCGCTTATGCTTTTGCAGATCCAATTCACTGTATTCCCGCCTGACTGCAGATTGACCTGCTCTTTCGAATTCTTCAAAGTGCATCTTATGCCTTCCAATCCATCAAACACTCCATCAGAGCTTCTCTACTGTGTAAACACCCCGAGGGTCTCAGACTTGTCATTAATATCAGCGTTAAACCCCTCTTTGGCTGTTGATGGTGTGTATTAGCTCTATCACTGCATCTGTCTGGCTTCACGGATTAATTAAAGCGTGTGACTTGCAGCAGTTGCGCAGAATTTGCTGAAATATGGCACCTGATGAAATGATATCAGGCACTCTTCAGTTTCTCATCCACTTTGTGCTGTTCTTCTTTAACGTTTCTCTCTTTCTCTCTGAAGGGGATGAGGAATAAGCCGGGGGTGGAGACAGCGGGGACCCCAGACTCAGTGTCTGTTTCTGGGAGAGGACGAGGAGAAAATAAAGCCATCAAGTAGGTGCCTCCTGCAGGCTTTAACTACTGCAGTTAATGTCTCGGTACTCAAAGTTGAACCGAAAATCCCAAAAGTCTGTGTTTAGAATTTAATACTGCATGCTGCACAGTATATACTGGATACTAGGGGAATAATGCTGTACATATTCATACTGTAAATTTTCATTAGGGGTCTTACATTTCGGTATGCATGCACTGAACAAATACAGTGTTGTTTTACATTTTTCATCATTATGTTACATATACTTATGTATATGTTATTCACTTACTGTGCACAGAAATATCTGGAGTAGCACGCTCTTCCAAGCACTGCCTAAGTTGGAAAATAACAAACACCAAATGTGTCATTACTAACTGTTATTGATACACATATGTTTTTAAACATGTTTCATATTCCCGTCCTAACTGTAATTTATTCAGCAGTGTTCATTTGTATTTATAGTTTCAGAAGTGTTATATTTGATTCTCACACCAGCTGTGGCATTTGTCGTGGTCAGTACTATATGAAGAACACTGGCTTGTTGTTTGCAAATATCAGAAAACGGCTATGTTCTCATGTTCTGGCTAATGCCGTACTGCCATAATTTCATATTTTCAGTGTGCCTTTTCTATGCTGTGCGCAGTATGCAAATTTTCATTATGCGCAGACTCATGATACGGATACAATATGGAAATGCATCTGACTTGACCTTGAATTTTCAAAGTGATGAATGAAGCTGAAATTATTTTTATTTTCTATTTAAAATTAAGCCATTTTTAGTTCGTTTTTTCTTTCTTGTCTCATACTTTTTTTTAGACAAAAACGATCGTTTTAAATGAGCAAAATAGTCTGAATCAATCATTCAGTGTAGTAAGATTATTAACAACAATGTAGCATACTACCATTTGAAACATTTCTTTTTGAAATTCTTAATCTGTAATTACAGGTGCATCTCAATAAATTAGAATGTCGTGGAAAAGTTCGTGCAGTAAATTGGTACAAAATAGGAACAGTGGATTATTGGGATTATTGTTTTTAAAAATTAAAACATTAAAATAAATAAATAAAGATAGATAGATTATTTTATTTCAATTAACTTTAATTTGTTTTCAGTTAGTTGCCAAGGCATCTTTTCTCGTTTTCTTTTAGTTGAACTTGAAGTAATCTAAAATAAAACAGAAATAAAATAAGAACAATATAGACATATTTTAGGAAACAAAAACTAATAATAATAAAAAAAAAAAACTTTAGCTAAAATTAAAATGAAATCAGAAAATATAAAAATAAAAACACATTTTAAAAAAACTATAATAGTATACCAGTTAAAACATCGCTGGTATTATACAATAATTGGCTAATGCCATTTATTAGTTTAGTCATTGGTTTTGTATGTTGCCATTACATAATATGCAAATCTATCATGCATATTCAGTGGTCTCAATTTGCTATCAATACTGAGGATAGTTGGCAGCTCAAAATATTGGTATCAGGCCAACCATAAAGCCTTTTTCATTCTGAACACAGCCAGTGTTTCTGAGCAAACCACAGCAATAACCTCGAAGCGCTTTAAAAATAGTAAGTGTGTGTGAAATGATGGCTTTCACACACTTGATGATGTTTATCAGGTCAGCAGTGTGAAGCAGCACACTTCCAGCACTGGTCCACTTGGAGCACTTGCTCTGGTAACTACTGCAGCCTGAATATTAATCAGCCAATGCTCTAATTAGACACCAGTGCAGCCCGCAGCAGACGGATGCTGTTTTTATATCAGCACAAGAGGCCAGACAGCTAATCACCTGTGACCACACAAGGGCAGGGAGAGCAGTTCATTGTGTACCTCAGCCTGCGAATCAGACATTTAGATTTCTTTTACTAAAGGATGAGCCCACAACACCAGTGTGGAACGTTTACATGCATTATGATACTTAACTGTATAATAGAGTTTTAGTACCATGTTGAAATAAATAAAAAAATCTATGATTTCGAGAATGAAGTCATAACAGTACCAAAAATGTTTTTTTTAATGTGAGATTTTTTAATATTTAAAATGTTAAAATTATATATATAAAAAAATAATAATAATAAGTATACTTTATTGTAGTGCTGTCAAACGATTAATTGTGATTAATTGTTTATTAATTGTATACCGGTTCATACCGAATACCGGTGTTTATTTTTGTTATGATATGAATTTTTAAAATACCGCAATACCGGTATATGTTGCTTAAACAACGTTCGGAACACGACACTGTTTGAAAGGGGTCCTTTTTCACTGTTGCACTGTGGTGAGGGAACAGCTGTATGTGTTACTAAGCCTGAAAGTTCCAATCGCATCCAAAATAAACATTTTTGTTTACATCATATATGTATGTGTACTGTGCATATTTATTATGTATATATACAGTAAATACACACACATACAGTATATATTTTGGAAATATTTACATGCATATATATTTATATATTTATATTCTTATATTTTATATTAAGGTAGCTCTTG